CGCACGTAAGCCATTTTTAAGTATATAAAGTAAATTTCTAAAATTGAAAAAGGTGTCTGTCGGTTGTTCGTAAATTTTTCTATTCTTCTTTTTAACAAATGGTAAACACCACAGCGTGCACTAGTGAGTTTTAGATGCACGCGGGAGATTGCTAAGCACGAAAGAAGCGTTAGAGTCGCGCGAGGCGATAGCCGAGAGCGACTCTAGCCTCTTGAGTGCTTACGAAACCTCTCAAGTGCATCCATAACTCAATAGTGTACACTGTGGAGTTTACCATTTGTTTTATAGCAAGACATTGGTACGTCGTAGCTGAAGAGTTTTCTTTCATTTAACACATCTTACGCGACCAGGAAAACAAGCGCGCGCGAAAAATTAGTGTTTGGTCACGTCAGCAGCGTACACCCATAGGCAAATGGTGGACGCTGAATTGACCAATCAGAGCGCGTGCTTTACTTCGGTTATGTTATAAAACGTATTTTTTAAGTTTGACGTTTCGGTTATATTTTCGCTGGAGACATGATCCCTGATTATCATTATTTTCTTAGATTCACGCGTTTCGTAAGCAGCACATACAATTCGTAATAATCTGCTGGAAAATTTGGTCTTCTTATTTTCAAATTCCGATGAATCACCTCGCATTGAAATAAGGGGGGGAAAAGTTTGAATTAGGATCAGGTTTTAACAAGCCATCATAACTACTTACATTTTACGGTAAAGGGAATCGTACCTTGCAACCTCTACGCCACATGTCCTGTTCCGCCTTGCCTATGGCCATTCATTTAATACAAATATGAAGCCTTTGAAAAAGGTAAACCATGTATGGCTTCAATTCTGATATCACAAAATTTTGTTGTTTTTGTACAGCTTTTGCCTGGTGGATCATTGTCGTGGCCGTGTTAGGTGTCATCTTGGCTTTTGCGATATTGGTTGGCATGATAATTGTCTACAGACGCAAGCGAGCGCAGGAAAGACAGGAAAGAGAGGTAAGAAATGCTAGGTTTTAAGGTCTTACATTTGAAAACGACGCTCTAAATGTTACATGACAGCAAATGGACTTAGTGCAGGCTATTCGTGGTTCAGCGTATTTAAACAAAACCGGAGCTTTTCTTGGCAGAGGTCCATGAAGCGAATTGTTAAATGTTGCAGTAGATGCATGATTTCATAACAACCGTTTCAAACGTGACGTGTAATGAGTAACGTGTCTTTCAATTTCTGGCATGCACAAGTGTTTTGTTACACTGGTTGAATCTATAGACGACTACATGTGGAGAGAGATGGTTTCGGAGTTACAAAGGAATGTGGCATCATCTCTTTAAAGTGAACTTTCCATATTGCGTCTTCGGTGTCTATTTTTAGATTGATCCGAGAACGTTAAGTTAAATTGCGAGGTTAAATTTGGCTTCTCCTTCGAGACAAGAACGTCATGCTTAACCTCATGATGTGTATAATGGAATAAGCTTTCCATACTCTATTTTAAATTTTAGGCTGATGCAAGAATATTAAGTCAAGTTGTGAGGTTAATAAGGAAACAACAACGTCATGTTCAACATCTTGATGTGTCTGTCAGTCAAATATAATATTAAACGCCCTCTAAATATTCAACAAATTTGAGAAAATAGCTTTTGATCAACAAGGAAATAACAGAGAGTAGAAATTAATTTAAAAAAGGACTTCAGTCTTAACGAAGTGTAACTCGTTTCTAAAGATCAAAGACATTTGTTATTCATCCATCCATATTATGGGAAAGAGATTTTGGAGAAATTTGTTCAGAGGTGTGAGAACCCTTGAAGGAAAACAAACTCGATTGTAACACGCTTTCCTGAAACACGGCACTACGGAAGAATATAGTGATTAACATATTAATGAAAAACACGCCCAGACAGCCAATATTTGGCCAAAATCATTGGAGGGGCCGTAAACAGCTTTAGCTCTTCATTTGACGAGGAAGTAACAACTTGATGCAGTCTTCTAAACCTATTAACGTTCGTGAACGATTGCGATGTTAACTAACAGATACTCATCGTCTTGGCACCAGGAATCTCGAAGGTAAGGTAGTTATCTTGTAGTGTTGCGATTAAAGGGTTCTCTGTCTTTCAAAGGAAACTGAGTCACTTCTCTCGCTCATGTCGCTGGTTGGCAGGAGTTAAATCTTTGAAGGCGTAGTTAACAGACGAAGAAGAAAACCCCGCAATCTCGTTTTCTGTCAATGCGTAAACAAGTTTTCGTTTTCTATCGGCTAGCTCGAACTCTCATGTATTTCCAACCGCCCCTCTCTCCCGTAGTAAATTGAGTTACTGCACTTCGGGCAATTACAAACGCTGACTGCAGCCATCAGATTATGCATACAGTACCTTCTTTATTCATCGTTTTCATAACAAATTCTCCTCCTAGAACTGAGATCAAGGCGGAAGAAAGTTGCTATCCTCAGTTTTTTTTTAAAATTCTGCATTGCTTGACTTAATCTATCGAATTAAACAGCACAGGACCATGCAAAATGCGTATCTCAATAACAATTGTGCTTTTGTGCGACAGTTATTTAAATCTGATATATGTGTCATTGTGTTTCATATCTTTGATAACTGCGAGGCATTATTAGGTACGAACTTTTACCCTGAGGGTTCTTGTCTCTAATGAAAACTGCTTGCGATTGGTAAGAGATGAGTGTTCACCGAAAAGTTTTGAAATTGAGGGCCGGTTTCTCATAAGAATTTCCGCTTACTAGGACTGAAAATTCCGTACAGATTTTGCGTGATGTCAGTTGATATTGAGGTTATCTTATACCCTCAGGGGAAAACGACACGTTGAAGAATCTGTCTGCAAAAATATTAACAAACAAGCTAGAAACATCGCGAAAATCAAAAGCATGTTATGACTTCTTCAAATATGTCTATTCTCCTCGGGTTGTACAACACTGACAAATTTTAGAAACACGCATCGGTGTTGAACTCCCCTAATTTTAATCCTTATCAGACCGATTTACGGTTCACTGGCTTCATCACAACTTCCTGTCCTTTGAATGCGTCACAGGAGGATCTGGGTTAAGATATAGTGTGTTTTGATACAGTGGATGACTCTAAAAACATATCACAATTTACTCATAATATCAAAGGTAAGATGGTGAAAATGCAACCAGAAATATCTTGCACCATCTGAAAGCTGTTTCGGTTCGCTTTGACGACATCAGCAGGGTGTTGCAACGCTCCAGTGCACGTGATTGTCTCCTGATCTAAAAATCAAACCGTTTCAGCGCCCTTTCAAGCGCTGTGTAGATGACCTTGCAAGAGACGCTGTAGGAGAATTTATTTGTCGCTCTTAAGACGTCTGGATGGCTAACACTTAATTTGCTTTATTTTCCCTTTTTTTCACCAAAATGTGGCTATGTGCAGACAGAGCTCTAACCTCTTTCAAAGGTACTACTGAGAAACATTTTTTAGGTCAATGTGTATGTGTTTATATTCACTATTGCTCAAATAGTGCGTTACTGCGAAGGATCGTGCACATATACGTAAGTTTATTTTGTGTCCGAAGACCAATGTCAGAATTCTCTCCAGTCTGCGGTAATCAAAATGAACACAAACGAGAGATGTTTTCATCGCAGGAATCTTTCAAGTATGCATCAACTTGTAACGTCGACGTCTTCCTTGGCTATTGTAAAATAACACATTAACAAAGACATTCCAGCCATAATTTAAGTTAGGTTGAAGGTTGACTAAAATTCAACAGAGATAATATGCATTTGACCAAAATTGTTAACTGAGTTTTTAAAATTTTTCATTTCAATGCAATCTTTGCGGTTGATAGACAAGTAGTTTCCAACAGTTCCCAGGATAGAATTATCAGAACGACGCCAGACATAGGGGTATTATTACATTAATCTTCTTGTGTAAGCAAAAAGACATATTTGCGGTATTCGGAAACTCAGGTATTTTTTAACATTGCGCGTTTGATCATATGTTACATGTATTTTGCGCAATATAAATATTAAAGTTGTTGCATTCGTCAAGTGTAATTGGCTTATGATCTGCCGGAACATAGTTAGTAGAGGCCGGAACTTTCATAGAGGCCTTGGCAACGGTCTAACGGGGTGAACATGACAAAACGCATCCATCAATCACGTTACACGCTAGTGATCTTTTTCGCTCCAACTAAGTCTAGGCACTCACTGAGATTTTTCGAATTGCTCACTGGGATCAATGCTTTTAAAAAACCTATCTTCCAGCAACCAAAAGCAGCTTAAAAAATATTGTTTTCGAAACAGAGTAGTCTTCTGAAACTCATCACCTTTTTGAACTTCACCCAAGCCTCGTGATCGGGGCAAAGTACAGGCTGGGCTGCTTACGACGGAAGTGTCACTGCATTGTGAAACGGGATTTTGGACATGTCTAGCTAGTCACGCAAGTCGTTGAAATATTAGCACTGACTAAGGCCACGGATGCAGATGAAATATAGCACTATCAGTTTGAAACCGCTGAAAACTAAAAGGGCTCCCGGGCCGGAAACGTGAACACTAGCCTTCAAAATTATCAGTAATCTACGTTATTATCCAACTACACTTAGACGATTAAAAATAACGCCATAGACGAGTACAAATATCACGCGGTATTTGTACTCGTCTATTGTGGAGTACCTTAAACAGATTTTCTCGCATCGCGCAAGCGAAGAATATTGGATTGTAGTTATGAAAAAAAAAAGTGGCGGACAATTTGAATCATATTTCCGACGACGAAGAGTCCGAAGGGCTGGCAAATATAGATCCAAGTTTATTAGATGAATCGAAAAAAGAAAAACAGCTTGACGGCCAGAAAATCTCTCCATTTAATGAAGAAAATAGAAACAGCAGCACAACAACGCGCCAATTCCGTTCCTCTTCGCATACTTCTGTCACGCACTCCCCGTAAATAAACATCCGCGAAATTCGCCCGCACTCAAATAACAGTTTGGCCTGTAGGATAATAAATAACTTATTAGACGTTTTGTTGTGTAGTATCGCTGAGTATTTTTACCCGTTATTTGTATTCTGACTCGCCCTACAGGCTCGTCAAAATACGGCACAACTCGTAAAAATACTCAGCGATACTACACAACAAAACGTCTAATATATATATATATATCAGGAGCTTATTGTTATAGTTTCCTCTATCTAACCTAAAGCTTTTTTCTTTCTTCTAGAACATCAAAAGCTGGATTATGGAAATTGCTTAAGTCAGATAAGTACTTTTCCAATTTTTATTTCGATATTCTGGTCTTTTCACCTCATTGCTTAACTTTGATTACATAGAAGCAGCAATAAAATTTCCGCTGGTCGTCCAGGTAAGTTTTTGGTAAGTGATAGTAGTGAGTGAGCTTGCGCGCGTCACTAGAAAATCGATCATTGATTAGATGAATACCTGACGCATTGTAACTGATCACTTAGGAGATACTTGCGAAACACAATTTGAAGGTTATGTGTTTCGATTCGCTCTTGAAAGAAAAACTTTCAAGACTATCAATTATGTCAGGCCGGCCTTACCTGGCAAACTTGAAAGACTCACTTTCAAGTTAAACATATTCTGCGATACATAGAAAAGAAATACAGGGGAAAGACGTTTGGAAGACGACGAAACGCTTTCAAGCCATATGTTGTCTCTTTTCCTTGTCACATTTGAAATGAACCGCGTGCGCCCAAATGTTGTCAGTGCCACACATCTTGAAAGAACAAGCGCTTTCAAGACATATTTGCAAATTTTCCGATGGCCCCTAAACTATAAAGGCAAAAATTGCGTTCGGGTGTGAAAATTTTAAGCCAAAGGAACTTTACCTGTCTAGTAACTGATGCTTACCTTTTTTGAATTCTTCAGTTTCTGCCGTTGAAAAATGGTCAATTTCCGTTCGAATTCCGATTGTAGTAAAAGATTAGGAAATGTCGGTTTTCATTCTTGTTACTACCAGACAAATTAAATCGGTGTCACCCCAAAATAATTTCTTCATTCGTAGCGGATATAAAATAAAGTAAAAAAAATATAAAGAAGAATATTTACCTGACTCCTTATGGTTAAAAATGAAACTTTCTATGAGAAATAATGCTAATGTGAGTCTAAAATACATTTGCTGACTCTGGTTCAACATTTTGCTGTTTTAGTAATTATTAAAAATACCACAGAGGTTGTGAATGTAACTGAGGGAGAGTCAGTGTCTCTGAACTGCACCATTGATGGCGATGGAAGTTATAGTTGGTAACGCCAGGATGGAATCGAGATCGAAAACCCGAGAAGACAGGTGACCCTACTCTCCTACTCTTTTGTATTCGCTGTCCTTCTCGCGCGTCTGTTGTTAAGTGTTTTGGTAGTAGACAATATCTGTCCCACTCATCTGGTGATATTTTTACCCCACCATCCTGGAGTCTCTCAACAGGTTTCACCCGCCCATCCCACCGCATTTCCTCTCTGCACCTGCGAACTGTAGATTCAATTGAACTAATCAGTACTAAGAAGCTGAGCATGCGAAGATGACAAAGAATCATGTAATTTTATTGCTCCTTTCCTGTAATCGAATAAGTGACGGTTTGCGAAGCGACTCGGTGATAGAGGCCGCACTGATAAAAGAACTTTTAAACAAGAATTTGTATAAAACACCCAATACTGTCACTGTTTTTGTTGTAGGTTAAAGGTGGAGGACGACTCCTTGAAATAAAAGACACGGCCATTGCAGATTCTGGCAATTACACCTGTCGAATAGGCGAAAACCCTCCGCACACCATCACACTCCAGGTTTTGGGTAGGTAGATGATAGTGAGCCTTTAAAGGTAATTTCACTTTGCTTTGGATTCAAAACGGCTGAACCAAGAAACTCATTAGATACTTTTCGTAAATTTCAAGCGAACCCGTCGAGAATCGCACTCAAAGTTCAGTTCGCGAAGCCAAAGAAGATGAAAGGTTGGAGAAGGTATATCAAAACGGACCGTCAATGACTACAAAATATTAGAGCGGTGCCATAGAAAAACGCAAAAGTGGTAATAACGAACCAATAAGAAACAAAGTTAACTAACGATGGAGAAGATTTAAAGGGATTTTAAATGGCTGTGAAGTGTTAGTTCGTTTGTTGACAAAACCTCACAGAGGCAGTAACATACTAGGCAGGAAGAAGTACTGTGAGTTGTCCATTGCAGAGATGAGCATTTGTTGTTGTTTTTTTTTTATTACAGTTCAAGTCAAGGTGGAAATGGCCTTGAAGGTTGAAAATTACAACTACACAAAAGAGCTGGAGAATAAGTCATCGCCACAATACAAGACAATTGAGCAAAACTTTACCGCTGAGGTATGACTTCTTTTCCTCCTTCATTCTTTCCATTCCCTCTCTCTCTCTCTCCCTTCTTTTTTTACTCTCTCGCTCTCCACCCTTTTTGCTATCCTCTCTCACCCATCCTCCCTCCTTTTCGTCTATTTCCCGTTCTCCCCTCCTCCTTCCTTAATTCCCTCCTTCCTCTGCCACCTTACATTCTCTCTCCTTCTTTCCTTTCTCCCTCCCTTCTTCTTTTCCCATGCCCCCCATTCTTCTCCTTCCTTCGTGCCCCCCTCAACCCTCTATCATTACTCCCAGCCTCTCCCTCTCTCCAGTCATTCCTCTTTCCCTGGATTCTTACCTTCCTTCCGATTGTCTGTTTTACCGCAGACGGACCTACAAACCGTCTATCTCTATCTGCCGCCTTGTTAATAGGTTCGATAGAAAAAAAAAGCAAAACCTCTTGTCATGTTTCAGATGGACATCCTTTACAGCGAGACTCCAGGATATATTAGAACGGAGGTTTTGAAAATGACGTGAGTGACAGATTCTTTTTTCTGAACTCCACAGCTAATAACTCAGAATATTTCATTTTCGTGTGAACTGGTCTCAATAAAATCTAGCAGCCACGTATATCTGTTATTTCATCTATTGTATTGATCTTAGCTTGGATAAACAACTTATATGACTGATCTCCATGGCATATCAAAGAGGCGCTTTCACTTATCTAAGATAAAGAAAAAAATAATTCCATTATTATTGAAAAATGTTGGTCGTTTTACGTGGAGCAAGGAAAACTTTTGAGTCTCTCATTAGTAATCGAACCTCAGACCGTCGGATTTTTCGCTCTGATGTTGCACAACTGAGTAACCAGAGTATGAAAGATGTTTTAAAAGTTTTATGCTCGTTTTCCCTCTTTCTTATTCTTAATTCCCCCGTTTTCCATTCTCTATAAACTAACCACATTATCAATCGTTGTAGCTGCAGTATGCCTATTTGCTTAAATTACATTTTCTCCCCTAATATTCTAGGAAAGGAAGTGTAGTTGTGGATTTCAACATCATTATTCAAATTATTACAACCGATCCCAAAAATGAAACAACTATCGCAGATGAAAAGGCCAAAGTCGTCCAAACAGTAATTAAAGAAGCCGACGATGGGTTTGTAAAGCGGCTCAAAGTGTCCAAAGTTATTCCAAAGAGTAAGCTTGCCATAATTATTCTGGTCTTTTATAAGTTTTGTTTTCCACTTTCGAGTGGGATGGATATCATCTTTTCTGCGACTTTAAGATAAGTATGGAAGGGTGATAACAAACAGCCACTGCTACTAAAACGTGACAAAATTTCCGAAGAGTAACGTGCGATGGACTGGTGTCCAATCTTGGAGAAGTATGAACACTCTTAGCAACTAATTTCTTCTTAAAGTATGCCTGCTGAATCTTACCTTGAGATCATGAGAACAAAGGAAATGATCGCCCACGAAAGAAGCTTTTTATTTTTGAACAAATACTTTTTGTAGGAGAATGGGAAATTTATGAAAAACCAGTGTGGAGAATATCCAGACTGATGGTCAACGGACCACTCGTTTCGTAAGATTCGACCTACTCGGGTATGAAAGTGTTAATGTCAGTAGAAACGTTACATAAGAGACTCTCTTGCATCATGTAATTGGAAAGGATATGAAAAAAGGGAAATCACGTGGAAAATGAGCTAGTAATGCCTCTGACGAACTCAGATAGATTTCGTTCACCTAATGCTCGCCCTTGTCTAAGTAAATTCCAATTGTCTTTGTTATTTCAATACTTGCAGCTTCTTTTCTCGCTTAGTCATCAGATAATCTTTTGATTATCCATTCGCTTTGTAATTAATCATTGTTTAATCTCTATTTCAGCCCAACCTCCAGAGCCTAATGATGTGGAGATCTTTGATGTCAAATCAGATGAGATAAGCGTTCGATGGAAACCGTCGGACGATGCTGAAACTTTCAACGTACGCACTTACTCGGTGCGCTACAGAGAGTATAGTGAAAAGACCTACATCGAGCATAATCAAACCGCTGACACTACAGACTACTCTTACAGGATTAAGTCTCTCGAGCCAGAGACCGTCTACATGATAATGGTCGGTGCTGTTAATTCATATGGACCCAATTTTAATGAGGAAACTGGTCACGAAACCGAACCCGCATGTAAGCCATTTTTAGTATATTAAGTAAATTTCTAAAACTGAAAAAGTTGTCTGTCGGTTGTTCATTAATTTTTCTATTCTTCTTTACTGTATATTTGTACCTTTAAACTTGACGTATCGCTCATATTTTCGCTGGAGACATGATCACTGATTGTTATTTTTTTTAGATTAAAACCTTTCGTAAGCATCATACACAAGTCGTAATGCTCTCCTAGAAAATTTGTTCTTCTTATTTTAAAATTTCGATGAATCACCTTGCTTTGAAGGTAGGGAGGGAAAGTTTGAATCAGGATCAGGTTTTAACAAGTCATCATAACACCGTATTGCTACTTACATTTTACGGTAAAGGGAATAGTAACTTGCCATCCTACGCCACATGTCCCGGTCCGCCTTGCCTGAGACCTTTCCTATATATATATATGGAACCTTTGAAAAAGTTAAACCATGTCTGGCTTCAATTCTGATATCACAAAATTTGTTGTTTTTGTACAGCTTTTGCCTGGTGGATCATTGTCGTGGCTGTGTTAGGTGTCATCTTGGTTCTTGCCATAGTGGTTGGTATAATTGTTTACAGACGCAAGAAAGCGGAAGAAAGAGAGGAAAGAGATGCTCGGTTTCAAGCTCTTGCATTTGAAAACGACTCTCAAAGGGTAACATAACGGCAAATACACTTAGTGCATTTATCCTGTATAAGCTGAAACCAGGTCCATTCCTACAGTTGCATGCAAAGAGCTCATTCCACCAAGTGTCGAAAACTCAAAACCAAAGTAATTACATTAACTCATCATGACGTGGCAAAATATCACGAAGAGCCAATGAGAATTCAAAGGTAAAAACAAGCAGGCCGCCTTGTTCCTGCTTGTGGGAATTTACAGAGGATTTAAGGGGCGATTGGTTTTTAGTTTTGAATCTGATTGTTCAAGAGAATGAACAAAGCGGAAAAAAAGGCAAAATAAAGCATCCCAGATTTCTTTCAGAATAACCTCTTTGCGAAAAGTTCTGTCCACCTATCCCTGCAATTTTACTTAAATCGCACCAGCCTAGTTGTGAACTCACTAGCCACATGTATTTTTCTTTTCAGAGCGAAGTAGCAGTTTACCAGGATAAGAATGTTAAAGGATTAACGTTTACAAACAGTGCTTACAAACCGTGTGAGACGAATTGGGAAGAGTTTCCGTACGAGAATATTAAGCTGTTGAATGAACTAGGTTCGGGCGCATTCGGCGTCGTTTATAAAGGGGAGCTGGTACAAGAGAGTGGGAAAATCCTTCCTTGCGCAGTAAAAGCCTTAAAACGTAAGTTTTGCAGCTTGTCAGTTCTGATCAGTCAGTCAGTCAGACGATCAGTCAGCTAGTCCAACAGTCAGCCAGTTTGGCAGTCAGGCAGTCAGTTCGTCAGTCAATCAGTCAGTCAGTGAACCAGTCAACCAATCGACTAGCTAGTCATTAAGACATTGCGTCAATTAGTTAGCCAGCCTGCCATACAGAGACAGTAAGTCAGTCGGGCAGTCAGGCAGTTAGCCAGTCAGCCAGTTAGCCAGTTAGCAAGTCAGCCAGTCAGCCAGTCAGTTAGCCAATCAGCCAGTTAGCCAGTCAGCCAGTCAGCCAGTCAGGCAGTTAGCCATTCAACCAGTTAGCCAGTTAGCCAGTCAGCCAGTCAGCCAGTCAGCCAGTCAGCCAGTCAGCCAGTCAGCCAGTCAGTTAGTCAGCCAGTCAGCCAGTTAGCCAGAGATATCGTCACAAGTTCGCATGTTCAACCAGCCATGTAATACTTTTAAAGGAAATTTGATACTAAATTTCTTTATATTTCCATTAATAACGAGTAGGTCTTGTGAGCTTCATTCATACAAGTTACATAATTATATAAATTGTTTTAAATGTCACCCTTGTTTTACTTAACAGCGTCTGCCACAAAGGTGGAAATAAAAGACTTGTACAATGAGTTGGAAATTATGGTCAATGTCGGACACCATCCGAACCTTGTGAATTTGATCGGAGCATGCACCCAAGATGGTTAGTGAGACACTTAAACTATAATACAGAACCATAGCTTATCCCTTTTACTCTAAAAAATCAAATTGCAATTCTCCCAACTAGTTACCACGCGTTTCCTGCTCAGTTATGACTGTACGGTGTTTTGACTCTCAAGCTCTTCACATACTTGGTGGATAACGTGTCAATATCGTTAGAAGAATTTACACGTCACTCACTTCTAGTAGTTGGTGGGGGTTAAAGGAGCTGTGTCACGTGTAGTTCACCTTGAAACTTTCATGCATTCAATATCAACATTTTTCTTCTTCACTATTCTCGATCCTTTCTACCCATTTTCATGGTTTCTACCTAACTAACATTTTCTGGAATCCCTTATTAAGAATATAATTTTACACTTAGAGATAATGAAAATTTCGTAACGTGACGCCCTTACGCATGAAATTTTTGTAGACAATTCAATTGGTTTCATTCCATTCATATCTTTATCTCCAGACCACCTACTCGTCATAATAGAGCTAGCAGAAAACGGCTGCTTGTTAGATTTCTTGAAAAAGTCCCGCGAACAAATTGGAAATAACACCACAAGCGGCTTAACAGAAGATATGAAGACATCAGTAGCCGTTGACGTGGCTCGAGGAATGGCACATTTAGCGAGCTGCAGGGTGAGTTAAAAATAATAGGAGGAAAATCTTTGTAACATTTGAGGTATGCCTGCTTTTCTTCCTATTCACGGTAAGCCCCTCCAACGCTCTGTACTGTCTAGTTCACCACTTGTTTCTCGTAATTTAACCTCTGATAATTGGGGATTGAATGGTTGAGATTTTTTTTTCCTCTCTTCGCTTTTCTACTTGAAAACTTTTTGGCTTTTGTAAGGAGAAATTTCTCTATAGAGTTACTCTACGATGTTAGTTTTGAAGCTGTGAAATAAACTCAAGTCAAGTTTAAGTTCAAGTCAAGTTTATTGTGAATATACACTTTGCTTTTGAAGGAAGAATCTCACAAGCTAGTTTGCAGGTATAACAGAGAACTTAACGTAAAAAGAACTAAATTGAGATAGTACCATCTATAGTAACTAAGATAATATAAGATTGAAATTAAGACTTTAGGCCATGAAAACGACCGACGGGTGAATTTTGCAAAGCACAAAACTGCTGAGAAAAATTCAACAATGATTGCAAAGTGACTTTCACACTCGCAAACAAAAATCAAGCATGGTTCACTGGTGACTTGATATTTTGCTTTTATTAGTGTATCCACCGAGATCTCGCAGCAAGGAATGTATTACTTGGGAAGGACTACGTTGCTAAGGTTTCCGATTATGGTATGGCACGTGATGTGTATGAACAGCTGATGTACAAGAAAGAAACTCAGGTAAATTACGTGTTAAATGTGTTAAAAACTATATAAACTTGAAAAATCATCATTTTTGTACTTCCCAAACCTGGTTCGTACTCCATACAGCTGATCTAAATGTTCTTGTGCACTACATTATGAAAGTTTAGTGTTTGAAGATGTCCTTTAAAATGGAAAGAATGCAAATTTTAAAAGCAGTGGACACTTCAAAAGGTTTCCCTTTTTGTCCACTGTTAACAGGTCATTTTGGAATTTGAAATGCTGCCTTTTGTAA